GGAGAATTCATGATACTAAGAAATCAAACGTGATCAAAAATTAGATGAATCAAAAAATAACCCAATAGGGGGTGAATTTTAATTTACTGACATAGAAGATAGGACTAAATTTGTCATTAAAATATACAGTTATGCGATTAAAAACATAACATCATTTGAAAAAACTGTCAATTTACATTTAATACTTTTTTATTTTTGCAATATTTTACTAATTTTGTGAAAGTTTGTTTTATATTTTATGTTGCACAGTTCATACACAAAAAAATTCCATCATCCTTCAAATTTCCAGAACATTTGAATTCTGAAATATAGAAATCAAGTTGTGTTTTCTTTACATTAAATGTGCCGATCAGCAGAAATTACAATAGTTTGGGGTCTTGTGAAGGATAAGATATAACGGCCAACATGAAATATAAGCAAACTCGATTTCAATGACCAAACTATTTGTTTATTTTTTTATTAATCCAATGGCATACAATTAGCTGTTTTTTCCCAAGATTTTCAGAGCTGAAATTTTCAGATGTCTTTTAGTTACCCGTGTAAACATTGATGTTAGCAACTCCACACTGAAAGGTCTTTCTTAACATGTTTAAAATAATTTCATTGTTAATCATAAGAACTAAGACAGTATTAAATGAATAATGCATTTAAATTTAGCTACAGTTTTAACAAACTTTTTTTATTTCTATGACTTTTGAAACAAGAATTACAAAGTTAACAAAGCATAGTTTTTCTGATGTTTTTATTTGGGGGGAAATTAAACCAAGGGGAGAAATACAGAAAAACCGGACCACAGTTAGCAGAGAAACACTTCAGTGGAAAGTTCATAATTTAAAATTTTATGACTAACAAAACCTTCCAAAAACTGAGGACCACACATAGTATAGTATTTCTTTTATGTGGTGTCATTCATTGAGCTTCTGTATGACTGTACTGGTATACTTGTAAAAATTGTTTTTGAATTAATAATTTTAAATGCTTTTATAATGTATTACAAAAAAAAAAAGATTGGGTAACTTCCAGTAATTCTTACAAACGTTTCTGCCTCATCATCATCGAAGGAAGTTAGTTACGACAGATTCAAGAACAGGACAGAAAACAAGGTTGTAAAGAAAAAAAAACCGGATGTTTATTAGACTCCTGAGTGTCACAACATACAAGATGAGAATACAGAGAGCTTTATATATATATATATGTACACAACACACTAGTCTACACCCATTTATACAACAATTATTTACTTTCAACATAGACCGAAAAACAAAATACGAATAAGATCACGTTCTACTCTTTTTACTGGAGTTAAGCAATCTTTATGTACACACAACAATTGACTGCAGGCTGGAAGAAACAGTAGAAGGTTAGACTAGCATAAACCTCTACTTCCTGTCAAAATGACTCTGGCTCACTATACTATTGTTATAACCAAGAAACACACACATACTAACGGGTTCCACTAAAGCCAGGGAAACCAGCTTTATGGCTTTAGATATGATTTTCTATTTCTAGCTAACATTAAACCCACCCCTTTTAGTCTACTGTTTTTGCATGTTTATTAACAAGCTCTAGATACTAATAAACAAAAATGTATTTTTGTAATATAATTTTATTCTGTATTTCTCTTACCTTTAGTCTTGCCAGTTGAACTTTATATCAATTATTCTACTTTTATGAAATATGTTAATGAGAAGACTAAGCACTTTCTCTACAACAGACCAGTCACCTTCGTGTATTATCGTCAAACGTCTTTTTCCATATGAGAGAGATCTACCCATGCTTATTCTTCAGTTTACCATTCTGGGAATAATACATTGTCTGGTCAACCTCCTCAATCTTTTTTTTTTCTACATCATGTCTGGTCATCATTTACCTCCTCAACTGTTTCTAAAATCTATCTAGCCATCATGTACCTTCTCCTCAGTCTTTTCTAAAATCTATCTAGTCATTATTTATCTTCTCCTCAACCTTTTACACATCTTATCTAGTGATTATTTATCTTCTCCTCAACCTTTTACACATCTTATCTAGTGATTATTTATCTTCTCCTCAACCTTTTACACATCTTATCTAGTGATTATTTATCTTCTCCTCAGTCTTTTCTAAAATCTATCTAGTCATTATGTACTTCCTCAACCTTTTACACATCTTATCTAGTGATTATTTATCTTCTCCTCAATCTTTTACACATTTTGTCTAGTGATTATTTATCTTCTCCTCAACCTTTTACACATCTTATCTAGTGATTATTTATCTTCTCCTCAATCTTTTAAACATTTTGTCTAGTGATTATTTATCTCCTCCTCAACCTTTTACACATCTTATCTAGTGATTATTTATCTTCTCCTCAATTTTTACACATCTTATCTAGTGATTATTTATCTTCTCCTCAATTTTTTACACATCTTATCTAGTGATTATTTATCTTCTCCTCAACCTTTTACACATCTTCTCTAGTGATTATTTATCTTCTCCTCAACCTTTTAAACATTTTGTCTAGTGATTATTTATCTTCTCCTCAATCTTTTAAACATTTTGTCTAGTGATTATTTATCTCCTCCTCAATCTTTTAAACATCTTATCTAGTGATTATTTATCTCCTCCTCAATCTTTTAAACATTTTGTCTGGTGATTATTTATCTCCTCCTCAATCTTTTAAACATTTTGTCTAGTGATTATTTATCTTCTCATCAAACTTTTTTACCTTTTTTTCTGACCATTGTGTAACTTATAAAATTCTTTTCATGATGACCTTCCTCTTATTCAACCTTTTCTAGATTTGTTTTCCTTCTCAGAAATTTCCTTTAGTTCTGTCCATCGAACATGTGCTCCATTGTACGTGATTAACACTTCTTTTCGTACTTTGTTACATTTTATCAACTAACAAGTACTTTCTTTCACTTAATCTCTCTATTATTCATATCTTGGAAAACGTTATCCCAACTTCTGTAATTTGTTTTTGGAACATTTTCAGGGGAACATAAAAAGTTTCAAATGATAGAGATTATTTGTATTTTTTTGCATCATGACAGATTGTAATACTTTGCATACAGCATCCTCAAGATTCATCTAGGAAACCTTTACTTTTTCGTTTTTGTTAATAGTGTAAAAAAAGCATCCATATATACTGTAACAGTGTATCCGGTGGTATTCTACATAGATCTACTGACTCTCAAAAAGCTATTAATGTTATTTCACCTTAAAAATCCAAATAGGTATATCTCAAAAGAAATATAACATTTATCTATTTTTAAGGTTACTTCTTTTCAAAAGACTGTAAAGTCATTGTTAATAATGTTATTCGTTGGAAAGAATAAATATAATGTATGTAATACTTAGATTAATTAAAAGGGAACAATATATGCTAAGAAAATGTGTAGATTCTGCATACTTTATTTATGCTTCTGGTAGCTGAGGTCCGATCCTGTGAATTCTTACAACTGTACGTTATACAGTTGTTACTGATCAAAAGCTTTTATTATAAAGCAATAACTATTGTGTTTGTTTTCCCATAAGATTACACTGACTGACTTCAATGACAAACACCATGCTGGTTCTTGTAATTCTCAGTGTAACATCAATTAAACACCAAAACGTTTAAAACATGTGGTTGTAAGGATTCCCTTAGCATAAGAATGTTAACCTGTAAAAATATCTGTATGGAATGAAATCGCATCAATCCATAACAGATGTATTCACAACTAAAAGTAACGTCCCATAGAAACCACAACTTCCCCAATACAGTTTTTAGTAAAATACAGATACTAGAACCAGTAACTCATGGTGAAAGTATACCACTCTTCCATCCTAATAGTTTTCAATAAATACAAACATTGTGGTCAATGTGTCATGGTAAAATTGTACTACTTATCCAACCCAGTAGTTGTCAGAATATTTAAGCATTATGGTCAATGTGTCACGGTAAAATTGTACCACGTATCCAACCCAGTAGTTGTCAGAATATTTAAACATTATGGTCAATGTGTCATGGTAAAATTGTACCACTAATCCAACCCAGTAGTTGTCAGAATATTTAAACATTATGGTCAATGTGTCATGGTAAAATTGTACCACTAATCCAACCAAGTAGTTGTCAATAAATACATAAATTATTGTGAACGTGTCACGATAAAATTGTACCACTAATCCAACCCAGTAGTTGTCAATAAATACAAACATTATGGTCAATGTGTCATGGTAAAATTGTACCACTAATCCATCCAAGTAGTTGTCAGTATATGTAAACATTATGGTCAATGTTTGTATTTACTGACAACTATTAGGGTGGAACAGTGGTACAATTTTATGGTGACACATTGACCACAATGTTTGTATTTACTGACTACTATTAGGGTGGAACAGTAGTACAATTTTATGGTGACACATTGACAATAATGTTTGTATTTATTGACAACTACTTGGTTGGAGTAGTGGTACAATTTTACCATGACACATTGACCATAAAGTTTAAATATACTGACAACTACTTGGTTGGATTAGTGGTACAATTTTACCATGACACATTGGTTGTCAATGTGTCACCATAAAATTGTACCACTGTTCCACCCTAATAGTAGTCAGTAAATACAAACATTATGGTCAATGTGTCACCATAAAATTGTACCACTGTTCCACCCTAATAGTAGTCAGTAAATACAAACATTATGGTCAATGTACCATAGTAGAATTGTACCACTGTTCCACCCTAATAGTTGTCAGTAAATACAAACATTATTGTCAATGTGTCACCATAAAATTGTACCACTGTTCCACCCTAATAGTAGTCAGTAAATATAAACATTATTGTCAATGTGTCATAGTAAAATTGTACCACTGTTCCACCCTAATAGGTGTCAGTAAATACAAACATTATGGTCAATATGTCATGGTAAAATTGTACTACTACTCCAACCCAGTAATTGTCAGTAAATACAAACATTATGGTCAATATGTCATGGTAAAATTGTACTACTAC